AGAGAGAGAGAGAGAGAGAGAGAGAGAGGGAGCGAGAACTCAGAAAATCAACTTACGAATTGCAAATCACTCTATTTTTCCCTGCTAAAAAACAATTAAGTTTATTAAGCTCATACAGTTCTTTATTCCCAGAAAAATCAGGACTGTCGAAACATAAAGAATCTAAGATTATTCTACAGGAATTAGATGCCTGCATAAAGGCCATACCAAAGGGTTCAAAACAGACCTATGAAGCCCCATTCCTCCAAAAATACTAAAAGGGGAGTTCAGGACTTAATCACTTAACACGTCGCCTTTAAAGGAACAAAAACTATAAGCAACTTATCGATTCTCAAAAATAAACAAGCATTGTTACCAAAAAGCACACATTCTAATCAACCTGTAATAAAAACAGTTTAGTATCAGTTTCATATTTTCTCCAGCTGATTTAATCAAAACATGGAGCATTCTCATCACAAATAACATCGATCATTTAATAAAACTCAATATTAAAAAGGAATACCTTGTAGTACCATGCAAACATGTGGCATAGTGATAATATATAGTTTCAAAATATGAGAAATAAAATAAGAAGCATGCAAATCTTGATGAAGCAACGGCTTCATACTCTCACACTTTACATAGCTTCAAAATTTCATCAGCAAGAACTTGATAACATAGGCAATTTTGTTAAATCATTTGGCAAGTCAAGTTAGCAAGACAATCCTCCTCAAACTATTATTAACACATTTTTTTTATGGCAAGCCTGAATTCAATAGAAATTTCAACTTCATTCAACACCTGTAAATATTTTCAAAATTCGTGCTACTTAGAGTAGAAAACAGAGTATTCAGTAACAAAACCTTAATTTTATCAAAGAAAACAATATCAAGAATAAATAATTCAAAGCAATACTTCATTTGCAAACATGAAACTTAAAATACATAGTCCTCTATTAAATTCATCAGACAAAAATTCAACAGTAGACAAATTTCGACCCAATAAATTATTACTAAAGCCATAGACGCATTGAAAAACTTCCACAAACAAAATAAATAAATAAATCTATAAATCATGAGTAAAGAACAGCCAAAAGAGGACATTTATACATACTCAAAGAATCGATGTGTTCTCGAAGCGTATCACACCAGCGTTGAAGTGAACCCTCACCAGGCGGCTCAAAAACAAAGTCTTTTCTCATTCTGTAACCTCCATTAGCACCAAAACAACCGGTACTCTCCTTCTTCAAAAAAGTCCTAACCCTAAAACCCGACCCTTCTCTGCAAAAGCCCAAAACATCTGCGTCCAAATTGAAGCAACGACCATTCCAGCATATTGTTCCATCTCTATACAGGCTAACGGTAGTCGGTATACCTTCAAAGCGGAGCTCCTCTGCAATAATTAGGGTTTCTTCAGCAAATTCCATTCTCCGTGAAGAGAGAGAGTTTTTGTTAGTTAAGAGACGAGCAAGGGAGGACCAAAAAGGGTGAAGGTTTTTTTCTTTCTGAAAAGGTTGAAGGTTTCTTTCTCGCTCTTACTTCCTGTACATTGTTTGTTGAGATGACAATGACAAACAGACTGCAATGACCGAAATGACAGAGCGATCCTTCCCAAGGAGCTTTTCCAAGGGCGATAATTGCAAGGGTGATGTCTTGATTTATCCCATGTTGGCGTCATATGTAATGACAAAAGTAGCTTGGGGAATATTTTTTTTGGTATACTTATGAAAAACCTTACCTTAACGCTACGCTTTCCATACAACTTACCCTCGCCTAATTTTTTTTGTTTGTGATTTTAGGGCTTGAATGTTTTTAGTTGTAGTAAATTTTGGGTTTGTTTTGTTGTATATGTTTTGTCGTATATGTTTTGTCTTGGTTATCTTTGCATCAATTATTTCTTATTCGATTATCCATCATCTTTCCCTTGTTCAAATTTAGTTTGTCATTAAAAAAAAATTGCCTAGCTCTTGTTAATTTTAGTAGTAGGTCTTTATAAAAAAAAAAAACCACAAAAACAAACTTTAGGATGTTCTATATTGCTAGTTGTATATATTGTGCATATCTATACTGTTAGATTAAACTATAGCTTAGAGATATGGTATTGTTTAGCTATAACTTAGAGAAATAGTATTGTTTATATACTAAAAATTTAGGATAAGTGTTTTTCCCAATTTCAAATGCATTCGAATTCACGTCTACAAAGTCAATTAGTTTTGTTTCATTTTGTAAAAGAAAGGCATTGTGCTAGTTTAACTTGGATATGAACTAGTTTTTACTTTGTAGAAATGTTGAATTGCATGTTCATCTTAAAAGTGGGGTCCACTTTTGAAGCTCTTTATTTCAAGACTATTTTCTATAATTTACTAAAAATCCAGACATTAACAAAGTAAAATCGTTAAGATTGCAATATCCAGATAGTCATTGTTAGAAATGTTTTTGTAGGTTATATACCCCCCAACAATATGCCTATCTACCTCATATTAAAATTTAGTTGTAGCTCTTTAAAAATATCTAGATTGAGCCTACCAAACTTGGGCAAGTTCAATGTGTGGAGTGTAAATTATTACAAATCTTGTACATGACAAAAGAAAATGAGTGATAGCATATTGATTTATTGTATTTTTGGTAAAGAACTCTAATCAAATGTCGATTAAACTTTAGATTATATTGGTGGTGATGCATATACATTTATGATTGATAGTAGAACTAAGTTAGATGACCTGCGAAAATACGTAGCAGAGCGTTTCTCATTAGACATGCACTTGATATCATTGAGGTATTCTGTCCTGAGAAATAGAAGATTTATTGTGAATCTATTCATTGATGATGATATTGATATGATGTTGAATATACATGAAGGTGATAATATTGTATTCATTTATGTATTCAATGGCAGCGAACAAAGGGGTGGAAGTACTTCACGTAATACTAAAGCAATCGAACAGGTCAGACACCCCGAATCCTTTAATGTTTTAGCATCTGGTTCCGAACAAAACAATGCACCAAGGTTGCTTACTTCATGGGAGGATGCACTTACTGGTATAGGGCAGCAGTTTGAATCTCTAGATGACTTTCGAGAAGCCCTTAGCAAGTTTGCTACAGCACACTATTTCACATAACATCTAGTTAAAAATGAGGGGTCTCGCATAGGGGCGAAATGCAAGGGAGATGGATGCAAATGTGAGATATATGGTTCAAAGTTTGGCAGGATGAATGTTTTTAGCATCAAAACATGAAAAAGAGAACACTCGTGCAATATTGGGACAAGCAATGATATATAGAGAAAAGCGTCTCAAAAATGTGTTGCGTCATTAATCAAGGATATAAGTAAGTGATAATGTGCATTACGAGGCTAAAGAAATCATAAATGATTTGTCTCGAGATTGTGGATTAGAAATACCCTATTGCTAGGCTTGGTGAAGGAAAGAAGCGACCATAAAAAACATACAGGGTTCGCAAGAGGAGTAATACAACCAGTTACCCCAATATGTAAATTGTATGATAAAAACGAATCGTGGTAGTTATGCGATACGACAAGTATGACAAGATGGTAGATTTCATCGAATGTTCTTAAGCTTTTATGGCTCAATACATGGCTTCAAAAGTGGATGTCGTCCACTTCTGTTTCTCGATGAGACATCATTGAATGCATGATATCTTGGGACTCTACTTGCTGTCAACTCATTCGATGGGGAAGAACAAATGTTTCGTGTGACATTCGCTATTGTGGATACCGAAAGTACAAAAAACTAATTATGGTTTATAGAATCTCTAAGTATAGCTATTGAGACAGATCGTGAAATCAATTTTTTGTTAGAGAGACACCCTGGTCTAATTGATACTGTCTGTCAAGTTTTTTAGAATGCCCATCATGCCTTCTATGAGCGTCATTTAGTGGAGAATTTTAAGAATGAAGTAAAAGACATACTTACTGATATTAAAAAGGCAATTGCAAAATACTTTATTGGAGTATGCAGAGCATACAGGTTGCAAGAGTATTTTGAGAAGATAAGTGAAATTAGATTAATTTCTGAGGACCCATTCAAATGGTTCATGAAAGCATCGCCACACCGTTAGGTCAATCACTCTTTAGGGGTAAACGATATAACCAAGTAACAACCAATGTGGCTGAGTCATATAACAAGTGGATTTTATAAGCATGAGACATGTCAATTCTCCAGTGCGTTGACTAGATTAGAAGACAAATGGCCACCCGCAACTTGAAAGCTGAAACTTGGACTACAACACTTATCACGTACACTCAAAACAAACTGAGAAATATCCTAAAGCAATCCATTTCCATTATGGTCATTGTATCAAGTGGAGCAGTATTTGAAGCAAGGGTTGATCACATGCTTGGAAAAGCCTTCAAGATTGCAAAGTTTCGTGAATATGGTCATTGTATCAAGTGGAGCGGTATTGAAGCAAAGGGTTCACATGCTTGTATAAGCCTTCAAGATTGCAAAGTTTCATGAAACATATTTCGAACTTATCGTGTCAGTTACCTTGATTGATCTATTTGGACGTATGCGTGAACCACTTCCTCTAGATGGAATAAGAATACTTTCACCTCACTCAAGACGGCCCCTTGGACGACCTAAAAATAAGCACATGGAGTCGCAGAAAATGCAAGTACGACTTATTCACTATAATCGGTGCAAAGGAAGGGTCACAATAGAGCAACATGTAAAGCACCCACTTGAAGGCATATATTTGTACTTATCTTTTTTATTCTGTCTTTTTAAATTGTGACACTCACTTGTGGGAAATTTTGTTAGTACATATATTAATGGTATTTGTTTATAATCTTTATTCCACCTGTGTTCATTTCACTAGATTAGCACACATATATTTATGTTTGTTTCTTTTCTATTGGAGCACCCACTCTTGAGAAATTCTGTTATTGCATAAATTAATGGTGTTTGTTCCACTTGTATTCATTTCATACTATTGGCGTACATATATTTATGTTTGATTCTTTTCTATCACTTTTTTAATTGGATATGTCACTTTTCTCTCTCTTTTTTTGGATATGCCACTTGTGGTTATTTTTTTTATGACAATTATGAAAATAGAATTAACAATACAAGACCTGAAACAACCAAGAGGCACAAGGGAGCCATCGACTTCATCGTGTCAAAAGTAAGAAGTACGATGATCTATTTGTTTTAGTTTATGATTTACATTAATTCGATATTTCTCATGTTATTGGCTATTATCATTTCTTATTAATTTTCATTTTAAGAGAGAAATATACTTTGTATTGACGAATCAACTCAAGCCCTAGCAAAATGGAAGCTCGATCAACGATAGGTAGCTCTGATTCAAAAGATCGGATTGAGTCCATTGGTGGATATTGGGGTCTCGCATATCGATTGCAATCTATTGAGGGTATTCATAGGGAAATTGTGCAAGGACACAAATAATGCACGTTTAACTATCGGTGAAATGGCTCCAACCCTATATGATGTGTGGCAGATATTAAGGACAGTCGTGCTAAGCGAGCCTGTAACCGGCATCAGGCCTAAAAACTATATTGCTTTCGTCAAGGAGTATTTGGAAAATTGCCTTAAAGATGTCATCCCGATGCATATTAATCATACATGATTGAGGAGGAGATTCGGCCAACTACCAAGAAAGCCCACCAAATTACAACTCACGCAATACGCACTAGCGTATCTCCTTTATTTAGTCGGCACAACTATATTTACCGACTCATATAAAGGATCAACACTTACAATGTACTTGCAATTGTTTTGAGATTTTGATGAAGCAGGGAAGTATGCATGGCGTGTTGTAACACTTGTTTTCTTATATTGTTCATTGTCTAAGGTCGTAGGAGGAGAAAATAATCATTTTAGTGGGTCGGCAACTTTACTACAAGTATTTCTCACTATCTTTATAGTTTATATTTATAATATTACAGTTTCTTTGGTTTCTTACTTTTTGCTTTTTCTATAGTGCTGGATTTGTGAGCATTTTTGAGCTCTAGTCACCAAGCCTACATTGGTCATCAACCTAGGAATGCCTAAAGTTACATGTGGAAGAAATGACCACACCTAAAGACATGTCATTTGATAACATCTCATTTGATGGTTAGTGGTTGGCTTGTGTGCTTAAAATCTAGTAGATAATCAATCTAGGAATGTCTTGGCTTGTTGGCTTGTGTGCTTATTTAATATGAGTCGCATGAAATTGTAAAGTACTTCATGTGTTGATCATACACCATAAGTTTCAACATTGCAAAGTACTATATGCCCAATCGCCTGCTGCGACAATTTCAGAAGGTGCAAGGGATTCTTGTTACACCACCCAAGTGGGATATGAGGGAGAAGGTCGTATACACCCCACAAATTGGACTGGAGAGTTGAACAGGCAAATAAAAGATTGGAACTAATGAGAACGTAACGTTGTCAAGGGAGCCCTAGATAAATTTGGTGTACCTACAAAATAGTACATGGCCTAGTACAACATATTTATACAAAGATTTAGAAAAACCCCTATGCACCCCCCGTTGCAAACGCAATCCTATGTACAATCCTTCACAGGTCATGATGACGATAAGAGATTGGTATACTATTTATTATATGTATTTTGTTATTTTATCGTCTTAATGTATCTTAAAATTATAAAAAATAAAACT